TGTTTGAAATATTCAATTAATTGCTGTCAACCATAGTTATCCTATGGTGCTATAGAACATTAGAAGCTATTCCCTTATGCATCCACACCCTTGTCCCCACTAACCGTCATTAAACTAGCTTTGCTCCTATATACCTATTTGATAATCACTATTCTCCACTTCTATGAGATCAACTTTTTAGTTTTCATACGTAAATGAGAACATGTGATATTTGTGTTTCCATGCCTATTTTATGTCACTTAACACAATCTCTTGTAGCTCTGTTTTGCTACACAATACAGAATTTCAATCTTTTAAAAAAACCAAATAATATCCCATTGTGTATGTATAGATACCATATGTTACTTATTTAACCATTGATGGACACTTTGGTTGGTTTCATATTATGGCTATTGGGAATAGTGCTTCAATAAACATGGGAATCAAATGTTTCTTCAACATAATGTTTTTCTTCTCGTAGGTACCCAGTAATGGGATCACTGAATCATATAGCAATTCTATTTTTAGTTTTCTAGGGGTTGTCTATGCTGTTTTCTATAATGGCTGTACTAATTTACATTCCTACGAATAGTATACAAGAGTTCCCCTTTTGCCACATCTTTACTAGCACTTATTAGTTTTGGTTTTTTTTGGTGATCACCATTCTAATTGTCTGGGATAATACTTCATTGTGGTTTTGATTTGGGTTTTGATTAGTAATATTGAGCAGTTTTTCATATACTTGTTGGTCTGCTGTGTGTCTTTAAGAAATTTTTATTTAAGTCATTTACCCATTTAAAAATCAGGTTATTTGCTTTATTGTTGTTGAGTTGTCTGAATTCCTTATTTATTCTCTGAATATTAATTCTTTGACTTATTAATAGAGTGCAAATATTTTTTTCCCTTTCTATAGGTTGTCTTTCTTTAACCTGTTGATTATTTCATCTTTTGCCACTTAGAAGGGTCATTATTTTGTAAAATGTCACTCAATTTGGTGTTTTTGATGTTGTTTTCATGATTATATTGAAGTTATGCATTATTGGCATGGCTACTGTAGATTTAAGCTGAGTTAATCTTCTCACTGTATCATATGAGGGAGTATGTGATACTGAGATATATTATGGTTAATGTTCATATTGGTCCCTTGGTGAAGATAATTTTATTTCCTAATTGTTTTTTGTTCATTTTATTTGTACATTTTAGATATACATAGCAATCACCCTCATCATAAGGAATTTGTACCTGTACTTAATATATCTTGTTTTTTTTTCCCCTGAATCTCCTCCCTCTCTTAAACCCCTCTTCCCCTCCTTATTTACAAAATCTTTGTTTCCCTTTTTTCCTTCTATTCTTTTTTCTTTTTACTTTCTTCATTTCCTCCTTCCCCTTCCCATTTGAACATTTTCTTCCCATTTCCTAATATCTATTATACATTTTGGTCCTTATTTACACCTTTTATTTTTTGCACCAGAGAAACAATGTAATAATTAAACATGTGTGCCTGATTTATTTAATATGGCTCTTGTTTAAAAATAATTACTAGTCATGTAATTAGATGAGCACTAAATAGAGTCACCAATTTTCTATCCTTTTTCTATGTCTGATACTTGCTGGCTGCTGTTAGTAGGATCTGGTTCAGTCTATAATTCTGCCTCTTTTTTTTCCCAGACTGCTAAGCATTTTTGGTCTTACATAACCAACTCCATTTCTGAGGAAAATGTGAATACACTATTTGAGTAGATTTTTTGCACTACTGAATTACATTTACATGCCTTGAAGGATTTTTATAATATTCCTGCTTCCAGCTGTCCTGCCTCAATTCATCTTGAACCATTTACATGTGTATCAAAAGGCCTGAAGTCTTCTTGCTGTAAGCAAAAGTTTTAGGGAAAGCTCTGGCTGACAGTTGGAGAGTAGAGCTTTTGTTTTGACTCTGTGAATGTTTTACTCTGCTTCCTTGGGAAAAATACTTAGCTTCTTTGGGCATTCATTTTCTTATCTGCAAAGATCAAAAGGACCTTACCAGAAGCTGCAGTTATTTGATTCAATGGGCCAGAGGGTATTAATGCGGCTTAGTTGATAACTTGCTTGTTCTGCCCCATTCAAGTAAATGTTAAGTATAGCCCCACAATATTGTTGGTGTCAGAGGGCAGTGTTTTTGCATTTCAAAGAATGAGCAGCAAAAGTTAAAATTATATAAATCTTGCTTTAAAAGTTTGCATAGTTCTGTTGCCTGGTAAAACAAAACAAAGCCAAAAAAAACCTGGCCATGTTATGTTTTGGTGAGTCTAAAAGACCACTTATTCTGAAACACATCCTATTTGCATTGATTTCAAAAATTGGAAAATTATGCATTTTAGATTTGATGAAATAGAGTAAAAAAAAGACCCACAGTCAACTCTATCACTTAGCCATAGAATTACCTACAGCCTTGTTGGAGCCTATGCTGCCTGACCCTGCTAGGGTCTATATTCTTAGCACATGGTCTGTTCTCAAGCTCCTTATATACAAGCCAGAAATCCAGGACAGAGTGAAACTGACCCAGTATGCCTATTCAATGAAGCTCTGTTGGGACTTGAAGGCTTAGCTCAAAATTACATTTTAGTGTAGGATTTGCCTTTTCTTACCTCCTTGGCATTTTTTTTTCCCTGCATCCTCACAGGGCCTTACTCATACTTATTAATTATTAGAATACAAAGCTTAGCCGTTTTATTGTAATTATTTATTTTCTTTCTTCTACTTGAGTATGAGCTACTCAAAGGATTCTTTCTGAATGTTATACCAGAGTGTCATACAATCTGGAATATAGAAGATATTAAGCCATGTTTATAGAAGGAATAAAGGTTGGAAGGTGGGTAGGAAAGAAAGACAGCTAACTCTTTTGTGAATTGTAGTAGAAGTTTTTCAAGTAGTCAGGCCATCACCAACCAATTTAGATGGTACAATGTGTATTTTATAAGTCTTAACTTTCCACACTTGATCTTAGAGAAAAGGCCGAAAAGTGATTAGATTTAACTTTAAAGTAACTATTTCATATGGGGAAAAAATAAGAACCAAGACATATCAAGTAAAGGTGCAAGATCCTAATGATAAATGTAACTATATTGTTTGCTTTAAATGTACTAAATGTAGACTTAGTAGGATAAAAATTAACTATTTCATAAGTGATTGGGAAAACCAGTTACACTGTTTATAGGCAGACTGATTTGGGTGCAAAAGATTAATAATATTCTAATGTAATAGAAGGATCCTAGGGTAAAAGGTACTTTGCTGCATCACTAAAACTGGCTTTATGATTTTTGGGCATTTCCTGCACTTCTTTATGCCTCAGTTTTCTGTTTTGAAAAATGGAATTACTGTATTGTAGGACCCCAACCGCTGTGTAGGCCCTAGACAGTCTGCATATTACAAAGTATATTCCATTCTACTCTGCTCCCTCCCGTCTACAGATAAGATTAGAAGGAAGTGTATGTAAACTTGGTATGAGTAAACAAAGGTAATGTCTTAGGACTTTGATCAAGACAGGGCATCCTGAGTCTGGGGTGACCAACCCAGGATGCCAGACATGTCATAAACCAGACCCCCTAAGGGATAGCAGGAAACTGACCCTCTTGCCCCCTTACTGTGCTTACAATCCTCTCCACTAGTCTTCACAAAGGGACTCCATGCTAATAGGCCAGACTGTGCTTCTTCATATGCTAATTGCTACCTTGGTTAACAGCCCACCCAGAGGCAAATGGTTTGACAAAAGGTGACCTTAGAACATTTCCTGCATAAGATAAGCAATGTGTTTGCAGTCTTGTTCTGTGAATTCCCTGACTCTTTGTTTAGAAAAACCTTATAAAAAGTACCCCAGCCCCTGAGCAGGGGCCTCTCTGAGCTACCTGGCTCCAGGAGTGCCGTCTGGCCACACTACTAAATATCTATTTACCATCTAGCCTGGTGTGTTCCTTCCTGGGTTTCTTGTTTCTCCGTCGTCAAGCTCCCGGAGCCTAGCTGGGTGTTAGGGCCCAGCATCGTGGAGGCCTTTTTGGCTGTTCACACTCCGTGGAGTGGAAGTGAGACTTTAGGTCTTACAGTATCACCTGATAAACTTACTGTAAGAATGAGATCACCATGTTTGTAAAACACTTAGCACAATGCCAGACACAAAATAGAGGAGGAAATAAAAGCTATGATGATCATTAGCTGTGTATGTCATCAGTTTCCTAATTTGAAACATGGGAATAACTATAGCACCTGATGAAAGGGGTCTCGCGTGCCCCTTTGGGGGCCCCCTCCCAATCAGGTCACTCACGCACCGAGAGGTCCGGCAGGAGATCTTTATTGAAGGGAGTCAGGCGAGGCACAAAGGCTGGGAGGCGAAGAAAAGGAGGCGGGTACCAAGGGAAGGAGTGTTGGCTCATTTATAGGGTCTTGGGTGGGAGTTTTGCAATTTTAGGGGAATTAGCTGTTTTTTAACCTATTGCAGGCCACATTGCCTTATAAGGTCTTAGTCCTGCAGGAGGCCCTTATCAGATGTTGGCGTCATTTCTGGGAAGAATTCAACTGGGAGGGGGAAATGAAACTTAAATTGGGAAAATGAAACTTAAATTAGGAAGAACCCGGAAATCAGGTATAAAATGGAGGAGTTTAAAGTAACATGTACAATTTCCTAACACCTGATGATTTACTGTATGAATGAAATCACATGTTTGTAAAAACGCTTAACAATTTCTGGCATATAATGAGAGAAGGAAGTAAATGTTAGCTATTATTAGTATTACTAGTATTACTGGTGTGTGTTATCAGTGAGCAAAGAATTGGGAATCAAAGCAAATCATTTATTGGCCTTTTGTTTGACAGTCTTTTCAAGTTTGTTTTTTTTTTTAACCAAGATAACAATTTGAGACACAGCTTCCTTATTCAATTTCCTTAATGTCAGCCTATATAAGCACTCTTTTACCTACAAGTTCTCAGTCTTCTCTTAAGAGTTTCTCCAGTTTTCCAAAGCTGTTTCCTCTCCCTTTTTTCTTTTTCAGTGAACTGTTTGATCCTTTTTTCCAATGGACAACCCAGCATTTGAAATACATGAAGATGGAGCACAGAATATTTTGTCTGTGGGAAAGATGAGCACCATATCCAGAATGATAATGTGGGGACTTACACTGTGAGGTTACATCCCCCCAAGACTCTTTAACAGAGCTCAGGAAAGAACCACTCACTCTTTAGATCATCACTCCTCAAGAGATCAAAAGCTAGCATCTCTTGCTCTGAATATTTCCTGCTGTGCCTCATTCTCATAAACCTCTAGGTCATTATTAATGGCTTTACTCACTTTGAATGGCTACTTAATGATTAATGTCACCAAGTAAAAAACTTTTATCAGGGCCTACTAGAGACACTATTTTATCCATGCTGGTTCATGGATTTAACATCAGAGAAGTTAAAGGGGGAAGTTTTTAATTTATTTTTTTCAGCTCGACTTTTATTGTCCCTGTTCATAATGCTTTCTTTATCAGCTTGAGGGAGCAGAATACTATTTTATCTTGTCTTCTATTTAAAGATTTAGGTTAACTCCAAGTTGAATCTACTAGTCAGAAAATACATAAAGGGGTTGAAATTGTCATTTAAACATAAATAGAATATAAGTATTATTTGAGAAATGTTGGTGTGTATGGATACATGTGTATTTTAGCATGCATTTACATGTGTGTGTTGTATGTGTGTTGTACTAGATCATGGTAGGAATTGCATTTCTTATTTTTTTTGCTTGTTTGTTTTTGTGGTATTGGAGATCAAACTCAGGACCTCGTGCTTGTAAAGCAGAAGCAGCACCACTGAGCTACATCCTGGCCCGCAATTGCATTTCTTAATGAGAATGTGGTTAAAAAACAGTTTAAGAAATGTTGATGAAAGCCAATAATTAAGAAATATTAACCATGTCTAGTAAAGTAATACTCTTTGAGATATGTGAAGTTATATGTTATCCTTTTCTTTAAATTAACATGCGAGCTTAGAGATTTATGTAAATTAAAACTTTCCATTGAGAGTGTTGGACTGCCAGAATTAATTTAAATTTTAATGATCCCCAAATGATATGCGGTGGTAACACTGGTTTAGTGGAAAAAGCCCAGAATCAAGAGAGAACTTCTTTTTAGATTTTCAGTTACGGATAACAAGGTGGATTTTCACAAATCATTTGCTCCTTTCTAAGCCTCACCAAGAAAATGGGACATAGAGGTTAATCTAAAATCTTTAGGATTCTTTCCATTGCAAAATTTCTGTGTTTCTATCTAGAGTCTTGTTAAGCCCAGGACCCTGACACAGAGCTCTTGCAAGATGCCATAGGCCAGGTATCTTATTAGGAAAGGTAGTATCTCCTGTTCTGATGGTCTCCCGATTCAAACCAGAGATAAAACATAACTTTTAAGTCTACTTTAAAAAAGATATTCTTTCATTTTGTTAATCAGATTTAGTTAAAGTTAGTAAAAAGACAAATTTAAGAAATTAAGAGAAGAGGTAATTTTTCTTTTAGGGAGAAAGTTAAACAGTAGAATTCCAACCTCAAGATGTCAGCAGGGGTGGTTTCATTCTAGATCTCTGTGTTTGGTTTATAGATGGCTATATTCTGTTATCTTCAAATGAACCCCCTCATGTCTGCCTGTATCTTGATTACTGTTTTGGTTTTTAAACATATATATATATAAAATATATTATCTTAATTTTACAGAAGTTTGGGTTTCAATGTATTACATACATGTATATATTTTGAGTGTCCATTGTCCCATTAACCTGCCTTGCATCCCCTTCTCCCCATCTTTATTCCCTTCCTTTTCTACTAGTCTGTTTTCTGTTTTCCTCCCCACCCCTTTTGATTTTACATATTAGGGACAACATGTGACATTTAACTTTCTAAATCTGGCTTATTGTGCTTAATACAGTGATTTCTAGTTACATCTATTTTCCTGCAAATGGTATAATTTCCTTCTTTTTTACAGCTGAATTATATGCCATTGTGTATATATGCTACATTTTCTTTATCCAGTCATTCACTAATCAGCATGTAGGCTGATTCTGTAGTTTGGCTATTGTGAATTGTACTTCCATAAACATGGGTATATAGGTACCCCTGTAGTATACTGACTTTAGTTCCTTTGGGTGTGTATTGAGGAGTGTTACAGCTGGGTCATTTAGCAATTCCACTTTTAGTTTTTTGAAGTACCTCTATACTGATTTCCATAGTTGATATACTAATCTACATTCTCACCAGTAGTGTAGGAGGATTCATTTTTTCCCCTACATAATGAGGTACTATTTCTAATATACCATGAATAGAGAATAATGACTTCCTAATTTCTCTTAGGAAAAGAAGAAGCAGTGGTCATTAGTGAACATTTTCCTCACATGTCTCTTGGCCTGCTTTGCCACCGCAGCAATGGGAATATTGATTGTCTCCTTGGTTTACCTTAACTCCCAGCCTCACTTAAATGTTCAGATTGAACCTGCCTGGCCTCTACAAACAACAGTAGTTCCCAAAGTACAAAAGGCTGTTGACCCCAAATTCCAGTTTCTTAACCATTTACTGCAGTCAAAGGTATGAATCATAATATTAGGAAAAGTAATTTTCTAAATAATTATTTCAAAATCATCTTTCCACGGCATGTTGTTAAGCTTTGTTGTCTATTGGAAAGGCAACAGGAGGAAAGGAGATGGAGGATACAGAAGGACAGTTGGGTTGATTTGGGCCTCCGGCAGAAATTTCTTCAGTAGATAATTCTGTGTGTCTAACTGGAGGGGACTATTTCATATAATATAAATAAATGGAAAACCTTCTATTCATCTGCCAAGTTAGGTGTTCTTTTTATGTCTAACAGGTTTTAGACTGGTAGCATTGAGTATATCACTATTAACTTTGCTGACCTGGGGCAGACCTATTCCTTGCCTTCAGAACTCCAGAATTAACTTCACTGCCATTGCCTTTTCCTTGTTTCCTTCTTCTTACTCTGTAGGTAGGTCCTGGTGCTCTCACATTCCTTAGGAGATGGCCTCCATGCTGATGGTTGCTTGTTTATGATTTTTTTAGGTGTTTGAGTTTCCTGGTGGTGCAATCCAGTGGGCCCGGTACAGGAACAATATCAAAGACTATCTCAGTGATGAAGAAGAGGCCTTTGGCACCAGCTTGAACAATCAGAAATCAGAGATGACTCTGGGGACTCTGAGAATAAAAAGCCAGGGCATCCGGGCCCCTCACTGGCACTTTAATGCTAATGAACATGGCTATCTGGTACAGGTATAACTGCTCCACCCACACTCTGCTTTTAAGCATCTATTTTGTATGTCCTCAGGGTATTCTTTAAGTTGTTACAAAATCTACTTAACATCTACTTAAATTGTTAGACAAATATCCAGACTTTGAATTAGATTCAGTTAGATTGGTTAGCAATGCCTCTGAGCATCTGCATGTTTAATTACTTTGAACATTTTTATTCAGTATGAAATTATATTTCACACACTATTGTTAAAATAATATTACTATTTAGTCCTCTGAGCTGAAGCTAAAATTGGCATCTCTGATCTAATGATCAAAGAAACAGCAGCTTTCCTGTAAAGAAAAAAGCAGCAGTCAGAATAACAAGCTAGTTTGCTGATGTTCAGTTGGGAGTCTCCAATGTGAGGCCAATTGGATGCCCTTTTATGGTTTAGACCTTTCACAATATTCTGAAGTCAAGTGAAATACAGATAGATGGAGGTGAGATAAGTGTACTTACTTGAATTTCAAATTATTTGTTAATTCCAAATAACATTTCTTCTGGGTCCTGGGGAAACAGTAGCAGCTACGCTTTTCTAGAACATGCAGAGTTTTGTCTTACTCTGGTGATCTGTTTAACAGATGTGCAGCCAATTTTATGGTGTATTTTTTTGTTATTGTTGACTCCCCTACCTTTTCTTATTTGGACAGTTAATTCAGTTTTAGAATTTATAACAAGAAGAGAGGTTATATTTGTCTATATGAAACCAAATCTTTATTTCTCATGAAAGGCTCAGAGAGATTGGGAATTTTTCTAATATATATATATATATCTATATATATATATTCAGATACATATATATAGATATATATATATCTATATATATTCATATATATTTGTGGATATTTGGATGTAAATATTTAAAGTTGTTGGCTGGCCTAGGACAATGTCGTTATTTTCTGACTTTTTGTTTTTTTCCATAGATATAAAATATGTAAAAGGGATACTCTCCCAAAGATTACTTATTATATTCTTGCTAAGCAGTATTAGAGAATAAAGAGAAAGTAAAGATAGCTAAATAGGCTTTTCTGGAGGGGGATCTCTACAGCAAACTCTCCACTAGAGAGACTGACCTGGAGCATGCTGGAGTGGACAGCAGGCTCTGGATTCCAGCTTAGTCTAGGGAGGCTGTTTTGGAGTCCAGAGAGAGTTTGTAATGTGAGTATCTAAATGTGGACTATATGGTGTTGACTATTCTCTAGATCCCAGGAAAATCACTGACTGTGAGATCACTGAATCTTATAGTTAGGGCAAGAAACCAACAAATAGAATGAAAAAAAAAGTTTTTCTGCTGCTCTCACTCATGTAGACTGCTTCTGCCTCTGAGCATCTTCAAGATCCCTTGGAGGTGGGGCCTGAGAAGCAAGGCAGGTGAGGTTGCTGGTGTGCCTGGCCTGTTCACCACTGTAAGGGTCCCATCAGCCACCATGTTGATGCCCTGAGAAGAATAAATAGGTATTCCTGTCCTTCTTTGGAGAGAGCTCTTTAAAGGTTCACCTTTTCTCTTTAATTCCCAACTGCATCCATATTATACATGTCTGTATAAACAAAACAAAGACTTAAAAAAAAATTATTTTATTAGTACATGTTCGTAGTTCATGCAGTTTACAGTCTTCTTGGGGAGTGGTTACATGTACATACCACAGGTTGATTTTTAAAAATCTCCTCTCCATTTCCCTCCATCCTCCTCAACTGCCCTATCTCATTTTTCATTCTTGTTGGTATTATTAATCTTAACTCAAGTTATGGCATATAATGTTTCTATTAATTGAAGTTATGAGGGTCCTGTACATGGCATATCTTTATTTTACTTATTTCCCCTTCCCCTCCACATCACTCTTCATGCTTTTTCCTTTGGACCATTTCCCTATTGCAAAAGATCCATCTCCTTGTCCCCTTCTATCTATCCTTTATTATTTTCTTTGTTTGTACTTTACCTCACTCAACATTTTATTTTCCACTTGCATCCTTGTCCTACAAATATCTCAGATCTGCCATTCTTATTCTCTTGTACATAGATATCACATTTTCTTTCGTCATCTGTTGATGGGTATTCAGGCTGTTTAGAGGATTTAGCTATTATGAGTTGTGCTGCTGTAGACATTGGTATGTATTGCTGTAATATGAGTACTTAATCTCTTTGAGAAAGATAACTTGCAGGGGGATCACTGGGTCATATAGAATTTCTAATTTTAGTTCTTTGAGAAATCTGAATACTGATTTCCATAATGGTTATTATAATAGTTTACATTTCCACCAACAATGAAGGAGGGTTCCTTTTGCAACACAGCCTCATTAGCATTTGTTATTGTTTGATTTCTTAGTGATTACCATTCTTTCTTGAATAAGATAGAATCTTATTTTAATTTACATTTCTTTAATGGCCAGAGATGTTGAACATTTTTTCATATAATTGTTGATCATTTGTATTTCTTCCTCTGTTCATTTCTCTTCTCCATTTGTTGACTGGAAGTTTAATTTTAGGTAGTTTAATTTTTTTGAATTCTTTGCATATTCTAGCCGTTGGTCTGAAATTCTGGCAAAACTTTTCCTATTCTGTAGGTTTTCTCTTCACTCTACTGATTAATTCTTGTGCCATGCAGAAGCTCTTTAGTCTGATATAATCCCATCTGTTGATTCTGCTGTTTGTTATTTCTTGTCCAATTGAAGTTCTGTTTAGATACCATTTCCTATACCTATGTCTTCAAGTGTTTTACCTATTTTATCTTCTAGTAGGTTTAATGCTTCTATTGTAATGTTTAGACCTTTGATCCATTTTGATTTTAATTTAGTACATGATGAGAGATAAGGGTCCAGTTTCAATCTTCTACATACAGATAACTAGTTTCCCCAATACCACTTGTTGAATAGGCTTTCCCTCAACATATGCTTTTGGCCCATTTGTCAAAGATCAAATATCTGAATGTGTCTGGGGAAGTTTCTTTATCCTCAATTCTGGCACATTGATTTATGTATCTGTTACTGTTTCAGTACAATGCTGTTTTTATTATTATTGCTTTGTAGTATAGCTTACAGTCAGGTATTGCTATGCCTCCTGCTTTGCCCTTGTTGCCCAAAATTTTTTTTGCTATTCTGGTTCTCTTTTGGCTCCATATGAATTTTAGGATTGATTTTTCTAGATGTATAAAGCATGCTGTTGGTATTTTGATTGAGACTACATTGAATTTGTACAACAGTTTTGGGAGTATAGCCATTTTGACAATATTGATTTCTGCATATCCAGGAGCAGGGGGCATCTATCTATTTTCTGATGTCCTCTTCAATTTCCTTTTCAAAATACTATAGCTTTCTTTATAGAGGTCTTTCACTTCCTTGCTTAGGTTAATTCCTGGTTATTTCATTTTTTTTTAATCTTACTGAGTTTGTTACTTTTTACGTATATAGTACAGTTACATTCATCATTAGGATCTTGTACCCTTACATGACAGATCTTGGCTCTCATTTTTCCCCCATACACCTGCTCTCCCTCACCCCCTCCACCCTCCCCTATTTACAAACACTTTGGATATTTCATTTTTCTTGAAGCTACTATGAATGATATTATTTTCACAGTTTCCTTCTCATCCCATTAATTATGTGCACAAATGCAAATTACTTTTGTGTGTTGATCTTGTATCCTGCTACATTGTTAAAGTTCATTACTAATTCTCATACTAACTTTTTACTAATCTTTGGTTCTTCTATGTAGAGTATCGTGTCATCTGCATATAATGATAATTTGAGTTCTTCCTTTCTTATATGTGTCCCTTTTATTTCTTTCTTTTGCATAATTTCTCTGGCTAATGTTTCAAGCACTATGTTGAACAGAAGAGGCGATAGTGGACATCCTTGTCTTACTCCTGATTTTAGGGGGAATACTTTTAGTTTTGTCTCATTTAGTGTGATGCTGGCTAAAGGTTTGCCATATATAGCTTTTATCACATTCAGTTATGGTCTTTCTATACCTGTTTTAAAGACTTCTTTTTCATCTACCTATGTAAATATTACAGTATGTGAACATGAATTTCTGGTAAAACAGAAATAATAGTATCTTCTCTAATTACCTTAAAAGATAACACTGAGGAATAGCGTAAAAAATGTGAGAAAGTATAGAATTTCTATCAGCAGAGTTAAAGTCTGGTATAATATGGATGAAAGTGTAGACTTTGGAGCCAGACTGCTTAGGTCCAAATCCCAGCTTCACCATTGACTTAGATGAATAGCCTTGAGAAAATGTTCTTCTAAACTCAGTTTTTTCACCTGTAAAGTGGGGATAATAAAGTGTTATGCTTCATAGGGTTGATATAGGAATAATTGAATTGAATCAGGTAAGTTGCTTATATGAATACTTGAAATAATAAAAGCACCAAGGTTTAGGTCTTCTTCTTCTTATTATTAAAATTATGGTCAGGTCTTAGCTGGAAAGTGCACACACATTAAATTTTCATAGGCTGGTGGTGATAGGAAAAAAGTCTAAAATAATACCTTAGAAAGTGGCAGTGAAAAAAGATGAAGAAAAAATCGCTCTAAAGTGAAATGGGATGCTTCTCTGTTTATATTTCAGGGTACAGCATGGATTGGGGTGGTTGATGATGGTGGTGAAGTAGCTACCACATACAATGTCACAGCTGGCCAAGTAATCTTCTTCCCTAAAAATACCCTGCACTGGATTAAGAACGTGGGTAATGAAGACTGCTTTTTCTTACTCTTCTTTTCTACACATGATGAACTGCAGACTCTGGATGTCGATGATGTATTTTTCTCTACACCTGAAGACATTGCTTCCAGGTCTCTTAAGGTATGTACCAATTTTGAAAATGCCTCTCACCATGAAGATATTTATAATGTAGTCACAAGGATAGTAGAACTATTTGTTTCTAAGGTAACAATCAGCACATATCCAGAAGAAATTTGCTCATACGTATGGTAACATTTGAGTCATGGATTCAAAAGTGTATTTTGTATTCCTACTAAAGACAAAAGTTGCTGAAATTGAGTTACTTTTGTTTTTCTTTATGGAGGGCTTCCTTAGAAAACTACAATGTGTTAGCAGGAGATTGTGATATAATCAATGGAAAAATTGCTGTAATTTATATCCTGAAAAAAATCATAAGTTTACTCATTCTTTCTGTGGGTAAAGTTTGTTGCAGATATTGGAATAATTTTTTCCTGATCTCATGCAGAGAACCCAACAAGAATTGCTATTTTAAAAAAATTATGTATTTATTTTTTTGAGGTACTGGGGATCAAACTCAGGACCTTATGTTTGCAAGGCAGGCTCAGTGTCACTGAGCTAAATCCCTGGCCCCTAAAATTTATTTTATGCAGATACTTACAACAAAATTGTGCATGTTAATGGGGTACTATGTGGTATTTTGATACACACACATTGTATGATGTTTAAATCATTAAACATGTCCTCATCCATAAACATTGACCATTTTAATGGCAAAAACTCTTAAATCCATTCTTCTAGCTTTTAAAAATGTACTATACATTATTGTTACTTATTGTCACCCTATGATGGAATAGCACAGCAGAACATGTTACTCCTATTTAAGTATAAATGAACTTTTCAAATGTTATTATTATTATTTTTTGGTACCAGGGAGCAAACTTGGGATCTTATACTTACAAGGCAGGTGGTGGCACCACTGAGCTAAATTTCCTGCCCTTGACCTCTTCAAATGTTTACAGTGTTACTGGGGCAGTGGGATGACTGATAATGGGGCTGGGACTGGGTACAGAGGGTCAGGTATGGAAGCTAGAAAATGGATGATGATGTTGCAAAAGGGAAAGAATTTGTGATGGCCAATGATGGGCAACTGGAAAGATTTCTGTGGTAAGCTCAGGAATCTTCTTGATAAGTTTTTGAGACTATTTTACAATATTCTAGTAGTCTAGTGCTATAGGGAGAAAAAAGAGAAACGATTTATCAGAGCTAATATTGGTAAGGATGTGAACCAATGTGTATTTTTGCAGGATTTTTATTTACCATAAAATACCAATTATTTGAAAGCAAAATACTAAAAATTTAAGGGATCTTTACAAGGGTTACGAGAATAAAGTCAACTGAAGTCAGCTGTTTTGCCTGGGTCATGGAGAATCACAGTGGTACTAATGCCATCCTACTCTCAGCTGCCAACATTTCTATTACTATAATTTGTGGAATGTCCCACAACTATCTTATATAGTTTCTTATGTTTTTCAGCCTGAAGGTGGAATTAGTTTCATTAGAAAATTTCATAAGCAAACAGAAGACCAAGGGGTTAATCTTCCTCAGAACTTAGCAGAGCTGGTTATGAATGCTAGTTACATACAATCTCCAGATAACCTTGTGTGTAGATACTTTTTTGACCTTAAAGGTATGATATGTTTTATGAAGCCTTTTTAACTATTTATACTTTACTATTTTGAAGTATTTGATCTTATTTAATTTCTTAAACCTCATCTGACTCAGGTTCAAGAGAATATCAATTTCCAGGAGGAGTAATACAAAAGGCACATTATTGGAAAAATGGAAATGACCTAAGCAACAATGAAAAAATTTTCAGTGAATTCCTGAATAAGGTAATTGAGAAAATGTTTTGATGAGCATTCACATGGATGAAATATGAGATTTAGATTGGATTCAGGCTTCTTTTGAACAAAAGGCAAAGAAAGATCTAGCCGAACATTGGCTGACTTGATCAATGTAAATTATTCATTGAAGCTTCAATGCAAATCTAGGAATTTAACTTCTGTGACATGGATGGTTACATTAGTGAAAAGACTGGTTACTTGTGTGAGTTCTCTCTTCATTTGTTTTAAATGCTCAACTGACCATATTGCATAGATGTGGCATCAGATTCCATAGGTTCAAATTCAAGTTCTGCCACTTAGCTGTGTGATCATAGGTAAATTCCTCTACCAACGTAGATTTTATTTCCAGTCACCAGTAAAACAAAAGAGAATAGTACTGTGGACCTTACAAGATTGTTGCAAGGGATAAGTGTTAAGGTCATAAAAAATTGCATATTCTCAGAGATGCATAAATATGAGTTATTTTCATGATTATATGAATTAAGTTTTTAAGTAGCATGTTGACAAAATAACTGGATTTCTGTTTCTTTATTAAGCATGAAAATGCTCTCAGTTTGAGTACACTCAGAATTTACAACAATGGATTACGACAACCACATTTTCATTTTAATGCAAATGAAATGGGATATGTATTAAGTGGCTGCGGAAAGGTAATTTCTCTGTAAACATTTTTTGTGTTTTTTTTAATGCAGAAAGAGGCTAATGGGAGGTTTTTTTGTTGTGATTGTTTTAGTGCAGTTGTTAGCAAAATGAAATGACTGTCCCAATGACTGTCCCAGGCAGTTTCGACAGCTGGTACTACGCAGACCCTGTCAAATGGTCTCCAAGTTGGATGAGTCAGAAAGATTCAAGATGTGTGTGAGAATGAAACTAACAATATATTAGAAGTGATAAAGACTTACCACTTTCAATGGAAGGTCTGAAATACTTGCTTAGGTTTTGAGAGTTTTGCACTGTCAGGTAATGCAAAGTGGAATTGGTTGCTCTTTGTGATACTGTGAAATAGCCATTTGCTTCTCAGTATAATGTGAATAGCTGTAGCTGGGAAGGTGTGAAATACCAATATGGTGGCTATATATTCCAGCTGGTCCAGGATACTCCTGATATAAACTTGTTTTCTGGGTGAAATTAATAATATTTACCTAAGTATATTTTTATTTTCATGGGGCTCTATCTCTGAACAGAAATTTTTGTGAAAGATGGCCTCTATTTTCTGGACTTTACTGTCACTAAGAAGTCCTCATATAAGCACATGTCTTTTAGTCACCTGTTCTTTGCTCTTAATATTTATCTTTAATGAGTATTTGACTTTTTGTACTTAATGTAAACATGATTTTCTCCCTTAGGTGGGTATTATTAATACTCAGAGTACTATAGAATTTAACATCCACGTTGGAGATGTGATATTTTTCCCCATTGGAACCCAGCATTACATTAAGAACACATGTGATGAGGATTTGCTTTTTATTCTTGCCTTCAGCACTGCAGACAAGGTAAGGATAAGTCCAGTTTAGAGAGAAAGCTGTGTTAGTAATCTGTAGAATATTCTGCTAAGCAATGAGGGCCAAATATGGCTGTCAATAAATAACTGTGTGTTAAATGAATGGAGGAATGAGTGAGCTGGTTGAAACTGAAGAGCAAGGAGAATGAAAAATGTATCATTTGGTTCTAAAGAGTTCCAATATATCAAATTCCCTCTTAATTTCCCAAATTCTGAACAACTGAGAAAAGCCAAAGAGTCAGTATACAGAGATCCATGAAATCATCTTAATTACTAACCAAGGAGATAATTAGAGAATATGACTAATATCTGTGGGCAAATGGATTTCCTAATATCGATCCCAAAATTGGCTAGGCATACCCATGTTGAGGCGAACCCTTAAACACCTTATGGCATAAAGTAACATCTGCTCTTCGAAGAGGGAGGAGTTGAAGTGAGCGTGCCCTCCTTGTTCCTCTTAAATGGACTGGAAGTGGAGGGAAGAGAGAAATTGAGAGAAAGGGCGATAGGTGAAAAGAAAAGAAGAGAAAAAGTTTCTTATGAGAGAAACTTCTGAGTAATAAAATAACATACCTCCTCATGATATTTAAGCACTCAAATATGATCTAAGCTATAAAGCACAAATTAAGAAAAATTATTCACACACAAAAAAGAAAAATTATTCACTGCATTAATTTTTTGCATTTAAAAATTCATCCTATAATTTTTTTATTAGCTGGGATAATGTGTTGAGAAATGGATAAATAGCAGGAAACCTCAAATAGTGTAAGCAAATGTCTTTCACATATCTTCTTTAGTAGTACCCAACTTCATCCTACTGGCAATAATTCTGTCATTATTATACCCTGATGTATTTAGATTCTCCCTTGTTTAAGAGTTGCTCACCCTTGAAAGAAGTAAACTGCAATGTTCAGCTAAAGGGAATAGTGTTGCTTTGGTGAGGAAGACATTGAATTCATTGGTTGTCAGTGATTTAGCAGAAATTCAAAAAGCCAACTATTTTTTAATTGAGTTTATTGGTACATTTTAGGGATACAGTACAGTTACATTGGGATCTTGTACCTCTACATGACAAGTCTTTTTAATGTTAGGTCAATGAAAGCATTTAAAAATTTTAAATCACTCAAAAAAATTGCAAAGCAATTAGTAATCACATTTATTTTTGTCCCTCTTTTCAGGAAATTGGGCAAGTATAAAGAAAGCTTTTTATCTGTGTTCGTTTGGCTCTTACAGATGCAGTGTGCTGTAGGTGTTAACAAGGTCAGGCACAAATTAAATGTAAAATAGAGCAATTGCTAGTAAAGTTGCTCCCAAATGATTTATATAAAACCTGTATCTAGATGACCTTTCCCATGTATTGCTGCTACTCAAGTGATTACTGTCCTCAGAGACATTTTCATCTCTGTTTGTAAGAAGTTTACAATAGTAAAATCTGAGAAGAAAAAATTCCTTTGAACCAGACTGGGTCACCCTTTCAATTATACTTTCTTCTATCTTGTAGAATAAGTATGATCTACTACCATTTCTCTCCTGACTTGCCTCAGGGGCTTCCTAACTTGGCCATCTTTGTGTGTGCATGTGTGTGTGTAATTTTTATTTCATTTATATATACACTTTTATTTCATTAAGTTTCTTGATACATTTTAGGTATACACTATGATCATATTCATCATTGAGAATTTGTACCTATACATGATCTATCTTTTTTTTTTTTGTACCGGTGATAGAACTCAGATCCTTGTGCTTACAACACTGGTGGCAGAACCATTGAGTCACATTCTCCTGTGACTCTTGTTTCACTTAAGAGTATTGCCTCACAGGATGATCGCTGTGAGTTCGAGACCAGCCTGGGCTACATAGTGAGTTCCAGGTCAATCTCAACTACATAGTGAGACCCTGTCTCAAAAAAACCAGAAAAAAAAAAGAGTATTGCCTCAGTGTGCATTCATTTAGCTATAAATGTCTCTATCATAATTTATGGCTGAGTAGTACTCCATTTTATTAAAATAGTCTGTTTTTCACAAAATAGAGACATTCTTTTAATAATTAGTCAGATCAAGTCATTCTCTCTTCAAAACCATTTCACCCAGAGAGAAGTCAGTTTTACAAAGTCCAATGTGACCTACCCTCTTCCATCTTCTGCCCCTCTCCATGCTCAATCACCCTATGGCCCACTCCCACTACCCCTGTGACCTTGTTCATACAGCTCGTGCTCATGGCTGCTCAATATGATGTAACTTCCGTATGAACCCAATACCGGTATGAACACTTCTTGGCCATATGACTTTGTTGTTCTGTTTGTCCATCACGAGATAGAATTTCATTCCCCCTTTCTTAAATCTAGGCTGTTCTCACGACTTGTTTTACCAGTAGAATGTAGTGGGAATGACATTGTGTCAGTTCAAAGATTAGGTCTTCAAAGGCCTTTCCTGCTTTTGCTTTTCCCTTAGAATCATACTGAGCCATGTGATGAGATGTTAATCCCTCTGAGACAGGGAACCATGTTTCAGAGATCTGAATGAGACCAAAGACAGTTGGTCTCTAGCCAAGGTATCACCTGAGCGGTAACTGGTGTTAGACTTATAAATGAGTCCAGCCGAAATCAGAAAAAATAGCTACTCTGCTGAGAGCAGTCTAAATTGCTGACCCACCAAAAAGTGAACCAAATAAACTGTGTATTTAAGCCCTCAAATTTGGCATCTTGCCCTGTTGGGAGCAGAAGTAATCAGTGAAGTAAGGAATGCATTGTATTTATCAAAGGATTAGCCTACTGTATAAGATGATTATGAAATATTTCATCATTTCTCCACTAATTTTAAATATCATTTTTTACCAAACATGGTCTTAGTTCTACTTCTGGGTTCTCCGTTATTGATTTGTTTGTTCTTTATGGTATAGTTTCTTCAGTATTGTGTTTCATTATCTGGAAGGACAGGTCTCACTGTGTTACTTTTTTCTTTAGTAATTCCTAGCTAATCTTGTATTTTTGTGCACTTGATAATATTTTCCACATTCCAAAAAAAGTTGAGTTTTTAAAATTGGAATGGTTTTAAATATATGATTTAAGAAGTATTGAAAAATATTGAGCAGGCTCATCTAGAAACAATCTTTTGAATTATTTATGAAGTAATCTTTTATATATTTTAGAAGAATTTAAATTTTTCCCCACATATTTTTCTCACAATTCTTTTTTTTTTGGAAGTAAAATAAAAAAGTTTACTCCATCGATGGGGATTGATCACACCTAGTGGCATTGCACTGATCAACTCCCCCATTGGGTTACAACAATTCTTATGTGGATGCATGGACATCTTTTGTTAGAAATGGAATCTTTTTCCATTATGTTCTATTATTTGTATTTTTGGTATTTAGAACAATTATTGACTTTAGTATATTAATTTTATAACTTACCATCTTACTGAACTTTGTTTTTAGGAAAATACTTAAAGTTGATGTTTTTAGCTCCAAAGATCATATGCTTGAAAATAATATCATTTCCTCTTTTCCAAACTTTTTATTCTGTATCTTGGCTAGGACTTAATTATTTTGATTAGAACTTTCAGAATATTGCTGAGAATGATGGCGATGATCACTCTCTTTTGAACCTTGCCTATATGGTTTGCTTAAATTAGATAATAGCTCTTTAGGAGAAGGGGCTATTGCTAGTTTTTTAAAAAGATTTTCTCTCTTAATCCTTAGCTTAATGCCTTGAATATATGGGACAATAAATAAATATTTTGTATTTCAAAGATCACTTATTGCAGACTATATGCCAGACTTTACACTATGAAGTGTGTAAAGATTGTCTAATTTCAGCATTCTTTTTGGCCATCTACAGCCTATGGCTTTGGAATTAGCTAGAACCAGTCTCAACTCTGGCTCTCAGTCTTACAGTCTTGGGGACTGCGGAAAATATATGTCATTTTTCTAATTTCATTTATCCCCTGAAAATCTGGAAAATAATAGTGACTCTCATGAGTTTGTAGAGAAAAATGAGATAATATAGGCATCAAAGCATATAAAAAGTGTTCTGAATTGGGCTGGGGATTTAACTCAGTGGCACGGTGCCTGCCTGGCAAGTGTAAGGTCCTGAGTTCAATCCTTGGTACACATGCACAAAAAGGTTCTGAATAAATAAATAAACGTGGGAAATACAGAGTGAACAGCATGGGAAGGGGAAAGCTATGGGTGCAGAATTGGATATGTTGAGTTGAAAATGCCACTAGGAGGTAAATTAGAGTATTCAGAATACTCCACATTTATTATGACCATGATCCTTTCCCCTGAAAACCTATTATATATTTAGTGTTTCGTGGAGTGCTGTTTGGGGTATGTGACATTCAGAGGGGAGAGGGAGGCAGGAGGAGAGCTGGGATATTATTTTTATTGGGGAATAAGACACCATTTTGTCATATCTGAAGGTTGAGTTGTAGATACTTGGTTACTAAGGAAAGGATATTAAATTAGAAAAGAAAGTCAAGGAAAGGAGGAAGAAGCAGACCAGAAAATACAAATCAATAACAAAGCCCAAGTTGTGGTGAGGGTATAGCAAAGAGGTTCTGAAATCTGAAGCTCTGAAAGGGGCTGTTTTTGGAAGAGCTTAGGTTTTGGCCACTTGGTTAAGGATTGAGAACCTTGTAAGGCACAAAAAGAAAAACCACCTAATGACTTGCCCAGATATGAGAAGTATTGAAATTGACAACTAGGACAAATTTTTGCTTTGGTTTTCAAGGGCAGTGCTTTTGTTTCCTTCTCGTCCTCATCCCCGTCCTCCTCCTCCTTGTGCTCTTCCTCCTCCTCCCCTTCCTCTTTGACTTTGTTTGCTTTCCTTCTTCATCTTCTTTGTCTTTTCCTTCTTCTTCACTTGTATTACATTCAAATTAAATATTCTTTCTTAGATTTATATTTGATATGTGAAGTTTTAAAATCAGTTTTAAATAGTTGTACATGATGCAATTACCTAATTATTGCATACTATCTTTACTTAAATGT